ATATATAAGCAAGCTTTTTATATTATATGTATGAACTTACTTCAACAAATTCTTCAAGACGTCCTTCAGGAAATATACCATAAACATGTGGACCTAATTTTCTTTCGGATAATAATGTACATACAACACTATCGATCAAAAGAGTACCACGATGTTTTTTATGAGATTCACCATAAATTCTTTAATTGTTTTGTTTTGTTTTGTTTTATTTAATAAAAAAATAGTTAAAATAATTCTACATATTTGTGTTAAATACCTTAATAATACTTTTCGAGGTTCATCACCTTGTAATTCAATAGGATCAGGTAATGAACAACAATAGAGATAATTTGATAGACCACCACTAATTTTTAATAAATAAATTATTTATAATATAAACAACAACAACAAAAAACAAAAATTATTTACTGAATTCGTTCCATATGCATTTCATTAACAGTAATTGTTAACCAAGCACCACGAAGAAAATTTTGACACCATTCAAGTGCTTGATTAGATGTTACTTTTTCTTCTGGTACTTTGAATTTGTGTCGTAAGAATCTATATTTATAAAAAAAAAACAAAGTGTAAGTAAAACTAACAAAAATCTATGTTATAAAACGTTGTATTTTTTCATCAATACAAACAATGATAAAACTACTACATTTATTCTTTAAGTTATTAGTCACATATGACTAATAAGGGATATAACTGATTATGGCAAATAATTTGTCAATGAGTCAACTGATTTACTCCAATGTTTTATCTCATTGTTTAGAGTCATGAGTAGAAATGTGCAATAAGGGAAATTTCCAAATTGATTAATCACTTTTGAGTCGAAACTATGCACATCTTATAGATTCTAATGAGTTTTGAATAGCCTGAAAAGAGTTTGAATTCTTAACTTATTACCGTAGTTTCCTTCGGAATACAAGGAAAAAGTGGTTCTTAAATTTTGATTCGAAATTTTATATAGAAATATCCTTCAATGAGACTAGTTTATTGTGAAAGTTTCAGAGCTTTTGCTTGTTGCTAAGGTACGACTATGACAATAGCACGTTCTTTTTATATCTCTTATACACACAATGGTAGATTCTACTGTCGTTGTTTCAGAATAGAAACGATCATTACAATCTATTCCTGTTAATGTCTGTCTCTATGCAAAGTTTCAAGTAGTATCTCACCAGTAATAAGCTTAAGACTCGAACTGTTTTTAGAATATTTCATAGCTCAATAAGGTCTTGACTCAATTTTCTCCCGATAAGGTTTTTCATTTTTTACGCTTTCGTACGTTCCAAATTTCTCCGCCATATTAAACGCTAGAAATCTGGATTTAGTGTCAAAATGAAGACAAGAAATAGCTCTACAACTTAACAGAGCCGAATTTTTCGATTTTCCTATTAATGTTTATAAAAAAAAAACTAACTATTCTGAACCTACATCCCTTAGATTTTTCATATTTCATCAGAAGAGAAAATCAAAAAATAGAATCCAGTAAAGTTGTAGCGCCACATCTTGGATACATATTAAAACTAGTTCAAACTTTCTAGCATTTGAAATGTCGAAGAAATTTAGGATACACGGAAACCTTAACTTTGACCCATCATCTTAAGCTAACTCTTCATAGACTCAATGTATCGAATTGAAATTTTTACTGTAAGATGTCTAGCCCGAGATATATCTCCACTGAGAATTTCATTTTTGAGGAAAATCCTCTTAAGAGAACAATCCTTCCTCATGGATTATTTCTGGTTCTCGGTGAGAGTTCAACCGACCGAGCTCAAATTTTTATCAGAATTAGAAAATGATGGGAACTTATGTTCGAGAAAAAAACTGTTAGAAGCAGGTCTTCAGCAGATTTCTCAAGGGGTCTTCAAAAACCCATGAAGATCTGCTTTTAAAAATTTTTCCTCGAACATAAGCTTCCATCATTTTCAATAATCCAGCTGTGATGAAAATGTGAACCCGATTGATTATACTCTCGACGAGAACCAGATGTAGTTTAAAAGAGGGAAGAAATCCTCTTAATTAAATCGACCTTGGATTAGGATCGAATATTTTTATAAGTGATATCTTCAAGATGATGAATATTGATAAAAAAATAAGGATGTAATTATTTTTATTTTCTCATCATCTAAGTGATTTATGATTAGAAATAGATTTGAAGTTCAGAATATAATTCTAGTCTTATTTTATTCAATTACCTTTTTAATGGATCAGTCATTTTATGCATCGATTGCTTGATTCTATTAGTGATTGACATTGTTGAATATAAAATAGATCTATAAAAAGCAAAAAAAAAAAAAAAAATAAGAACATAAAATTTTTTCTTTAGAATTTATTTTATTTTTCAAATATAAACTCAACTAAAATAAATACTTATATTCAATGAATTAATTGAAATTATCTTATAGAAAAAACACATAATTTCTATGAAAAATTGTATGCTTATCTAATTAGACCTTGTGATCTATCAATATTCACATTACTCAAAGAAATACGAATAATAAACTAATATTTACTATATATACATATATTACAATAGATACAATAGTACCTGACAAAAAATAGTGAATATGTCGAAAGATTCGTCCCCCATTGACACATGTATGAATCATCATTGTGCCACCTGTACTATTTTAATTGATGATTCATCGTTAAATTTTTGTTTAGGAGGAGGACGTTGTTTAGAAACGTTGCATGAGTCAACATGGTTGAATACATTGAAAAGCAAAAAATAGTCTATCGCGTTGTTTAATAAAACAAAATGGGACCGACAGAAGTAAATTATCTTTTATTGTTTTTTTTTTGTTCTTGTCATTGAATTATTATTCTAGAATGGAGACGAACGAAGTGGACAAGGAAAACCACCAGGTAGTAGTAATAATAACATACTTTTTGATCAATCAAAAAATGAACAAATATCATTAACAAATGGTTTTAAAAAATTACAAGTGCATCTTAAAAATTGGAAATTATCAAAGTAAAAGAAAAAAAAAAGACTTTTTATTTTTGTATATTTTTTTAAATAGTCATCGTGAAGAAATAACTGCCGAACGATTAACACCATTTCGTGTATTTATTATTGCTAATCCAAGAGAAAAATTTACACCAGGAGAAGTAAATTACAAAACTTTTTATATAGAATTTTAGAAATACTATTTAATAATGCACAATATGTTCATCTAAATAGCAAATTATTTTTTTCTTTTCTTTAGTATGAATCAATGAAACGATATATTGATAATGGTGGAAGTATTTTATTAACATTAAATGAAGGTGGTGAAGGACGACAAATGACAAATATTAATACATTTCTTAAAAATTATGGTATTGAAGTTAATGATGGTAATTATTTTTATTTGTTGTTAATAATCAATAGATTGATTTTTTTTTCTAGATAGTGTTATTCGAGCAGCATATTATAAATATTTCTATCCTAAAGAAGCACTTATTCTTGATGGTGTTCTTAATCGTGCTGTAGCTGAAAATGCTCATTTAATTGCATCAAATGCACCAACACCTAAAAATAAAAAAAGTCAAAATGCTGTTGTTGTTGATAAATCATTACGTGCTCAAGTTGCACGGTATAAAAAGAACAAAAAAAAAACAAACTATATATATATATATATGAAAATTTTAATTTACTTTATATAGATCACTTGAATTTGTTTATCCATTTGGTGCATCACTTAATGTTCAACCACCATCTGTACCTGTACTTTCAACTGGTACAACATGTTTACCATGTCAAAAAGCAATATGTGCTTTTTATACTTCACCATCAAAAGTATGAAAATATTTTAATAAGAAAAAAAAATTTTCTTTTTATTTTTGTAGAATGGAGGTCGATTATGTGTTTGTGGTTCGACAATGATATTTCATGATAGTTATTTGGAAAAAGAACAAAATCGAAGATTATTAGTAAAGATATTTTTTTGGTTTTTTTTTGAAAAAAAA